TGTACTAGTCTGGTGGGAAGCAACACACTGGAATCCAGGTCTGGTGTACCAGAAAATGCCCCAGGCCAGATGCATTAGCATCCCAGCACCTTCTTCCTAGTAGGGTGTGCCCTGATGAGCGCACACAGCCCCTGCTGAGGGGTGAAACGTTGGTTCTGCTATGTAGATGCAACTCACATTGAGCACAGTTCAAACGTGGAGGGGGAGATTTAGCCAGCAGAGGGCAGGTGGCTCTCGTTATATAAGAAAAAGTCACTGGAGAAGCAAGGTGGCCCTGCAGCCATTCACTCCTCATCTCTGACATCACATCCATTTCCCAAGTTCATCATGTCACTGCACAGGGCCCGGACATGAGTAACACTTCAGGAACATGGCCTCTGTGGAACAATCATGAGAGCAATGAATAACGTGTTGGTGAGAACTTAACATTGCCCTCCCCCTTGCTTCTGTTGCTAGCTCCTCCAGTCCTGTTTCTCTCATCAGCAAGCTACTATGACTGTAGCTGCCTCTGGACTTATTCTAGGGCTTGCAACAACAATAACTATCTTGTCAGTTCATGGGAAGAGCATCTCGTCCATACTTCGAGAGGGTAATTACTTTGGTTCCCATGAACTTTACGTACACTACGTTCCACTTGAACCACTTAAAACATCAAAAGGAGCAGGTGTTGCAGTCCTTGGGCACATCTTACTACCACCAAACCAATGGTTTGTTAGATCATAGTTTGGTCGTTGGTCTAAGTCACTTACTCCTTCAGTAATAATGGGCTAGGAAAAAGACTTGAACTTATATCCAGGGAACAGCTGCTATTCCTCCTGCTTGAGAATCTAGCCATGAGAAGCTGAATCATACAGCCTCAAGCTGCTGAAGAGTAATAGTCACATGAGTTAAAGAGTATCTGGAAGATTGCTCTGTTGCATCCGTACCTTGTAATGATTATCTAATCATGGTGTTTTCCTGGTGACTACAGGAAATGAGGAACAGTGCAAAGTTAGGTGCCAGGTGGATCCAGAGTTTCAATGAGATAAACTGCAGAGGCATGTGGTTCCAGAACTTGGATTTGGCCTGGTCTATAAAGGTGGGCATCATGCATAGGACAGGAGTCACTCAAGGGCCAGAACGTGTGATTCTAACAGGAGCAGTTTCTCTCTAAATGTGTATCAAACTACCTTAGTGGACATGTATTGGTCATGCACAACTCTGATGGAGTTTCCCACTCCACCCCTTGTTTAAAGACTTCTCCCACTGCTCTGGGAAATCATGCCACTTTGCTAAGGAGCACAGCTTGTCCAGGCATCTGTCCTTGCAAAGCGGTCACAGCAGCATTTTTCAATGTTGTCTGGGCTTTCCATACTCCACAAAACTTCTCTAAATGTAAAATGAGATAACAACCTTGATAAACATGGTTATTGGAACACTCTTCATCATGCCTGTGAAATGTGTTGAGACTATGTGATAGAAAAAGTTAGAGAGGGACAAATGTAATTGTATTAAGAGTATCCCACAGTGAGTTCCCAGCTAGCTTATCTGATGACTCTCTATCCTCTTTCCTGGATATCCTCTATCCTCTATCCTCTTTCCTGCTCTTTCCTGACAGTACATAATATATGCTTCAGAATTTAAGAACTTCAGTGTAAGCCTGGTGCAGACTACTGCAACAACGATAAGACTTTACAGTGAACACCTGGTTAGGCAGCTAGTTGCACGTGAAGCCAGACAAATAAAGGAGCTCCATGAGTTAGCGTGGGTAACATCACTTAATGATGCTGTTTACCATCCTGGAGCATTAGTTGCACAGAGCATCAGGCCTCCTGACTCTGAGGAACACTGTAGGATCATAAAGTGATGTTAGCCTGAAGCCAAATAATTTTTTGCAGGAAAATTCAGTCATTACTGCATCTCTACATTTCTTTTCTGTCTGATGATTGACAAATGAAAGCATAAGGTGGGGTGCTCAGCTACTGAGCTGGACCTGTGCCAAAATTCACTGAAGCTGAGGAGAGAGGGGGATGTTTTCACTGGCTTTCAGTAGCTTGGCAGCATGCACATGAACTTAAGGGCTAATAGAAAACATAATTGACATAATCTTCCTCATGTTGTGAACATTTAATGCTATGCAGACTTCTTATTCCATGCTGTGCAAGGGTGGTTTGGCTGAGTTAGGTTTGCTCTTGCCTAGTTAAAACAAGTTTATCTATCCTTAGTCATACCCTTCTTCTTTCCCACAAAGTAAGGTGCAGCTCCATGAACCTAGCAGAGATGTCGCTTCTAAGCAAGAATAACACACTGTACTTGGAGTTTTGTCCTGCAAAGGCTGAGTCCAAGCAGCTGGATACCTCTGCGATTCTACAGCAACTGCTTTCTCAGGTTCTCCCAACATGTTGCAGGCATTCATGCAGGGCGGGAAGCTGTATGAAGGCCCTTTCAGGCTTTACAGAGGGCCTTGGGTGGTAGCCTGACAAATCAGGAAGGAAGCTACCAACAGTAGCCAAAACATAAACAAGAGGTAGCATGCCCAGAAACTGGCTAACTTTGGATGGAAAGAGAGAGGGATCAGAGCAAGCATGTTGCTCATTGCAGGGTGTTTCTTTTCATCCATCTTTTTTTGGTGGTTTTAGTTTTATCTACTGAGGTGAGCTGCAGGAACAATGAAAAGAATTAGGCTTTGAGGGAAACAGCTAAGGAAAAAGCCTAAAGGCATAATCAGTGGTCTGGTTTTATTACTCCGTGTTATATTTGCTTATTTAAGCACTAAGGAGCCTATCTCGCAATTTATTAAATGGTCATGTCCTCAATTAGTTGGTAGCTGCTGTTCGAAATAACCTTTTTCATTATATACTTTCCTAAACCTCCTGAAAAGAATACATACCCTTTAGAAAATTTCATCACTTCCCCTGCAGTCCTGGATGAGATGACAAGGGCTATTCATGCCAGTAAAATAAGGAGATGTGATGATGGGTATCCTGCAATAATTGAAAGCTTCAGTGTTTCATAGCAGGTGCTTGTTGCAGATGGGATCCTGCATAGTTAGGTCTCTCATGTGAGCCACTGTGACCAGCCCAATGCGCTAGAAAATTTCCATCCCACACAGGTTCCCATCTAAATTATCATTCCAAATTTTTAAAAATTTTGCAGACGAGGAATAGAGGCCCGTTAACTCTTTTGCCCAAGGTCACAGTATTTGTAGCAGAGAAATGTACCTCCTATGTCTCAGCCCAGTGTTCCAGCCGCATGATCTTCATCCTGCATGGCTAGTAAAAATTAATTTAGAACAAGTGTTTTCAGACTGCTGTTTGTACACCCCCTACACTTGTACACAGAGCATGCCTTTGAAAAGCACCTGAGGGGTGCATGTGTACTGCAAGCTCAAGGGAATAACAGCGTTAATGAAGTAACTGTTTCTACTTAGTACCACTGCATCTTTAAGTGCAAACATGATAATTTGTGCTCTCACAACTGGCTGCTCCCAATCCTCTGGGGTCCAGCCAAGACCCACTGCAGCTCCTGACATGGCTCAGTGTATTCCTCTAAGCAGAAGATAAAAATAACTGTGAGACTGCCTCCCGCTCACTTCTGGAAGCAAAGCCCTGATCATCATCCCAGTATGATGATAAGTCTCAGCACACTCAGTGTCTTGCATACCTAGAGTATCCTTGCCAAGGGAAGTATGTGTGGGCATGTGTGAGACCGGCCCAGTTGCCCCCAGGCACTCAGCTTCTGGATTGAGTTCAACCAGTTCCACATGTCAGTTACATTGAGGCCAGCGGGAAAGCAAGATCAGAAAATCTGAAACTCTGAAATGGCAGTCGTGTCCAGCAGTCTGCAACAGCACTGTGGCTTGTACTGCAGTTCAATGGGCCTAGTCTTGTCAGTGGATAAAGGGTTTAAAGTGTGCATATGTCTTTTTCTTTAGAACATGAAAGAGGACAAGATTATCAAAAAGTGTATCAGTGTTGCTCCACTGACTGCATCGCAAGAGCATCTCTTAGGGGACTGGAGCATCTCTCCTATGAAGAAAGGCTGAGCGAGCTGGGCCTGTTTAGCCTGGAGAAGAGAAGACTGAGAGGCGATCTCATCAATGTATACAAGTATCTGAAGGGAGGGTGTCAAGAGGTTGGGGCCAGACTTTTCTCCGTGGTGCCCAGCGACAGGACAAGAGGCAACAGGCAGAAACTGAAACACAGGGAGTTCCATCTGAACATGAGGAAAAACTTCTTTCCTGTGAGGGTGACTGAGCACTGGCACAGGTTGCCCAGAGAGGTAGTGGAGTCTCCTTCCCTGGAGATCTTCAAAACCCACCTGGACACAATCCTGAGCAATGTGCTCTAGAGGACCCTGCTTGAGCAGGGGGGTTGGACTAGATGACTTCCAGAGGTCCCTTCCAACCTCAACCATTCTGTGATTCTGTGATCTTAGCTATACCCAAACCAAGGACTATTGTTTCTCAGTAGTAGTTATGAACTGGCTCTGTTGCTGAAACATGGTGAATTTTGAACACAATTTAACGAAGTACCTATGCAAGTGACTAAGAGAGCAGGACTGTTAAAAATGTGATTTACATCCATTCATCAAATATCTTGCTTTGTCAGCTGTAGACACCATTTGCCCCCATCCTCCTTCATATCTGAAAAGCAGTATAAATAGATGGGAGGGTATTGGATGCTCAGTGTAGTGTATGGATTGCTATTGTTCCTGTGGGGTATGTGCAGTCCATTGAGAGGGCTGTATCATTGAGATGCAGATCTGGGAAAGTTTTCTTTTAACCTGCGCTCTCCACTGATGTGTTTGTGTTCCAGAGACATTCCTGGCACTCATCTGTGTTTGCTAGAGGAACAATACTCTAGAGCAGATACTTCTAGCTGTGGAAGGATCAGCTATACCTAGTTCTAATACTAGAACTAGTTTAAAACTTTGCTAATTTCAACACACTTCTATTATTCCTAAAAGCATCCTTTTGGATTTCAGCTGTCTAAAACTGAACAGCACTACCTGAAGTAGGGGAATTCAGCAGCCAAAGCAAGATGTATCCAATTATCACTCAAGTCTATGAGATTTAGACATTTCCCTGTCCCAAGAAACTAACGTGGTTCCACACATGTTTATAGTGAAGTTTCTCAACAATTCTTTAAGGAAGGACTTCCTGATACCGCCCTGAAAAAGATCCACAGACCATCTTGTGTCTTTTTTTTGCGAAACAGAACAATGAAAAGTATTTTTATTTGCAACAAATAAGGCTAAACTTTGAATGTTTGTCCATTGCTGTTATTTTCCCACATCTATTTCCTTATCTGCATGTGAGTATATATATTTTAATTTCATTTTTGTGGACCATGGTCTGATGTCCTATGAACTGTTAGAGACTTACTTGCTGAATCATGTTTTTCTATGTCAAGTATTACCAAAAAGCTGCAAAGAATGAAATTTCTCCTCTGTGACAATCCATACAGGATTATTTTTAACAGTTCTGTAGGATCTTGAAGCAGACATACGCTTGCACAGAGTGGTTCAGTTTATTTATAAACATCTTTCATGCTTTCAACTTTTACTGGAGTTTTCTATTACAACATTTTTTTTAACCAGTCACAAGAAAGCTGACTGTCAAAATCCTGTTTCTGCTATTAATCTAAGGCATTTTCAAATTACTTGTCCCTAATGACGAAGCAGAGAAAAGTAACTGCCACTTTTAGATGTCCTGGAATTTTTCTTCAGAACATTTGCTGCCCTGTGAAAATGTGGCCAGTATATTTGCACAGAGCATTTAAAACTGGACTAGATTTTAAAGACTAATTAAAAATAGTTTAGAACTAGGAAGAGAACAGTTAGAATTTACCAGAAAGTGGAAGGCATTGCCCAGTTCTGAGAAGATGAACAAATAAACATTTCTCATCATCACGTCCATGCAGCGTACAATCCAAGCGTGTGTTTTCTGTAGTGCTGTTCCTTATCAATAGCATTCCAGCCTATCCTGTTTGTCATAGAAACTGGCCCAGAGTGGAAGTGCACTTGCAGCCAATGGAGTGATTCAGTGGCAATTGGGAAAGGCAGGTGGAGCAGGTAAGTCACCTCTAGACAGGAAGGTATAAAAGATACTCGAATTACAGTGGCAGGGCCACTTGTACACAGGGAGCTGTTAGAGGTTACTTGTCTTGCTAGACCTACTGTGCTTGGAAACAAATCAGAAAGCTACTGGAGAGCTTGAATGCTAGAAGGCGGCTTATAAATACAAAAGAACCTGAGCTTAAGACTATCCTCTGGAGAGAAGAGTCTTCAGGGGTAAAAATCAAGAGCCCAGAACATGCTTTTCTCCTTCTCAACTGCGCTCTGAACAGGTATTTATAGACTTTAATCTGCTATATACCTCTTAACTTGCTGGGTATTCAGTTGCTCTGAGTTAAAGATACCATTAGGGAATCATATTACAGAACACTGTTGGCCACTGTCTTAACTGCATGTTTTCTTTGGTTTTATGGTGTGGAAAGCAACTTTCTAGAGCTTGCATGGAAGTAAAACTACTTAATATATTGTCTAGCAGCGTTAAATAAGCATGTGGTTTTGAATCTGAGTTAATGTGTCTCTCCTGAATAGTTTGTTATTTATTGATGTTCCCAAAGCTTCTGGAAAGCCCAGATTGTCAGTGAGGTAAATAAGTGCAGATTCTGTGGAAGAGCAATGAGACTGTGGAGGTCTGACTGATGGAAGATATTGTTCTACATTTAAAAAAATATGTGCTCATATAGCACTAAAAAAAAAAAAAGCCTGAACTCCCAAAACAAATAGTTCTATTCAGCTTCCAAACTGCACGTCTTCCTTTGGGACTCTCTAGATTTTATAACTGGATATGATTTAGTAGTAGAGCAGCAGGGTCCAGGAGAAGTCTAGGTCCCTATGTTAGCTGCGGCCCAAACCCAAAATAACTTTCTGAGCGCCAGTTGTATGGTAACACACAAAAAGGCACAAGAAGCAGGCAGAAGCTGACTTGTCAGTGTGGCAGAGTATGAGTTAGAACTGGTTTTTCCAAGTATCTGGTCTGTCCCCTGCTCTTCATATCTTCTCAGTTTTAGTCAATTAATTACCTGCATCAAATCATTCAAGTCTGATGAAGGCACCATGTAACACTAATATGTTGGTAAACATAGGCAGACTCTAAATTCATTAAAACTAACAAGCATGTAAAGTGTCATGATCATCGTTAGCAGAGAGACATATTCCAAATCAATGTAGACCAAAGCTTGTATCTTCATGGAGTAACAACTGTTGTGATGAACTTCACGTTTACAATCAAGACACTGCTGTTGCTATAGCTGTTATGTTACAAACACTAGTAAAAAAAAAAAAAATCCCTACAGAACATCTTTTTTCAAGTAGGTTAGGAACTTAAAATTTGCAGAAGCAAAGGCTCTCTCTTTCTGGGGTTACCTCCTGCCGCTTGTTTTGTTGCTAGTCATTTTTGACAAGCGCTCCAAGCTGAGGGATTGCGCAGAACAGGGCATGTTCTTAGGTGAGGGAATTCTGCAAAACAACACATTTAGCAAAAAACAAAACAAAACAGGGACTTTCCCTCATATCTGTGCCAAAGTGCGCTTGGATTTGTAATTCATCATTGTCTGCCAGATTGTGCTAAAACATGCATGATGGTCTGTAGCCAGAAAAAAACACATGAAACAAATTTTACAACTTGCTGGAAAGTATAGAGAGTTTATGGGTGTGACTGAAACTCCTAACTTGAGGAGAGACTTCACAAAAATTTCTCCATATATAGTAAGAGAGGAAAAAGAAGGAAGTACTTAAACCAATAGGCCAGTTCTGGTCACTTTAACTGTAGATGGCCAAGTTTTGTCTCACAAGTGCAGTCTGGGTACTTAAAGATGATTTCAATTCTGGCTGTATTAGCTCTGATGGGAGAGGGGAGAATACGTCATTCTCAAATAGTGGAGACTTTTTTGTGCAATATGGGAGCAGTATGCAGTCTTTCTGATACCTTAAATGAGCCATTTTTCCTAGGACATGAAGTCTCTAGCCAATGCTGGTGAGCCATTGCTGGATTGACTGGAGACCTATAATTACAGTAGCAATCTGAACACTTCTGGCTTGTCATTGGTAAATCTCCCAAAGCAAAAAATCAAGCCTAGCCAGTTCAGTGACACATCCTAAAGAAATGTTTCCCAGGCATTCAGTATCTTGGCCATTGCTGGGGATTTCCTCCTGCTAAATGCTTGTTTTCAGCTGAAAATAAGCGCTCAATATCTGAGAAGCCAGGATGACTTCTATGAATGCGTACAAAGCTGCATTTCTAGCCTAAGCTAATTGGAATTCAAGGTAACACAGTGCTGCAAAGTCTGGCCTAACTCAGTTGTAAATCAATTTGCTGGAACTGACATATTAGCCATTCAGCTCGCGGTTCCTGCTTGCGCACCATCACAAAGTAGAAAGCACATGGCCGCACACAGCAAGGCTTGTGCCATGCTGGCACTCTGCCAGGGCTGAGGACAGGGAAGAGTTGTGCTTCCCTAGGGAAACCAGAGCAACAGGGAAATAGTGGAGCATTCCCCTTGCTCTGGCACCCAAGGCCGTTTCCTCCAACATTGCTTTTATTGCTGTGTCACGGTGACAAGGTGGAGATGCTTCTTGTGCTGTTTGGGTGTAGAGGGACGGAGAATGGGCCAAATTTTGCAAGGTGTTAGTGCTTCCTCACTTTCCTTGTGTCCTGCTGTGTGTGGTGTGAGGAAGCTCAGATCCCACCGTGGATAGACAGCGCCACACAGCATCATTGGACAGTACCTCACTTGCCCACTAGGCAGCATACAGAACCATGATTCAATGCACAAAGCTTTGTCTTAGCACACCGGAGAGGAGAGAGGTTCGCTCCTCTGCTGCCTCCACAACTGAATAGTGTTATCTGTCTCTTAGGCCTTGCTCATGCTGCCACCATAATATCTGAGAGCCTCCCAGACTAAAAGACTGCCATAGCAAGGTCCCTACTTGACCTCATGGAGTCTTCTGCTCTTCTCCCTTCTCAGGTATTGGGAAGCACCAGCCGGGGTAGGTTTTTGTTGTGTTTTTTTCTGCCCAGAGGGAGGCATGTGTGGGGAAGACCATACCCATCTCTAACGCCAGGGTGGTTCTGGTGGAAAGGCTTTGGATGGCTGGTGGATCTCTGCTGGTTGCTTGCTCCTTTGCAGGACATTTGCCTTTGCCTTCAGCATGGAACCTCACACAGGCTGCATGTGCTATTCTCACCTCTAGCAGGGTCTCTCCCAGGCTCAGGACCCAGTGGAAGCCATGAACTTGCTCTTTAGTCCTTTTAAAGATAGGCCTGGTGATGGATGTCCTCCCATTATTTAAATCTAAAGCTGTTGTTTTCTTCTCTTCTAGAGTTTCCCAGGGCTCTGTTTATTTCCTCAGGCTCCGTCATGTCGTGCTTCACCCAGCTATGGCACTCGAACACACCGGACTCTCCCACCAGCCCAGTCCCTGCGTCTCCCAGTGAAATTCCCATCCCCATCAGCCCCATTGTTATCACCTCCCCAGGAGATGGCAAGAGGAAGGCAAGGTCCCCAACTGACAAGCCAGGCTCTCCAAACCCGACGTCTCCCAAGCCAACCTCCCCCGTTGAATGTTCCATTTGCTTTAACACCTATGACAATACCTTCAAGACGCCCAAGCTGCTCCAGTGTTCCCATGTTTTCTGCCTGGAATGCGTGGCTCGCCTGAGCACAGGGCTGCCCTCAAACCAACCAGAGGACCAGCTTCCCTGCCCCTTCTGCAGGCAGCTGACCAGCATCCCTCTGGAGGGTGCTCCAGCACTTGAGACCAGCAAGGAGCTCCTTGCCACGCTGCCCCCTGAACTCCAGCAGGAGAAGGTGCTCTGGATGGAAGGGACCAAGCTCTGCTGCCGCCAGTCCTCTGAAGACCCTGAGAATCCAGACTCGTGCATCTCCATTGATGTTGCCATGAGCAAGCCAGAAGCTCCAGAGGCCCCGCCGGCAGGGTTAGCTGGGAGGCTGTCCCGCTGCGACATGTGTGATGACTGGAAACGCATAGTCCTCCTCTCAGCATTGATCATCATCCTGTTCTGCATCATTCTGTGGCCAGTCCAGTGTGCCCTGAAGACAGGGAATCTCCGCTGCTTCACAAGAACTGTTGCAATGAGCAGGCCAGAGTACCTTCCCCCTAAACACACCACAGCAGCAGCACCTGTGACACAACTGCCTTTCCAGTTGCAGTGAGGCAGCCCCTCGCTACCCCCCAGCAGAGCTGTCAGCTCCCTCCCGGCACAGCATATCAGGAAGGCAGGAACAGGGCCTACTGCCCTGACAACATTCCTCAGTTTGCTTGCAGACCCTGTGGTCTGCTCTTCACGCTTGCTCTGTGCCTGCAGGTGAACACATACATCCGCTTCTGTGCGGCTCTGCTGAAATGCTTGTCTGCCAAACTGCCTTCAGCCCAGTAACGCTCCAAGGGGCTGCCTCAGTTTCCTGTTGTCTAACTCTCCATGGAAACCAGAGCCTTGAAAACCAATGCAATGGGCAACAGATACGTTTCTAGGACTGTTTGCTAAGAGTAGCACACAGCCTCATGCTATCTTGGCTGGATGCCAAATGACAGTGGGTATAGTTCCTGCCAACTCCTTCAGGGAACAAAGGGCTATTTTTGCGAACTGAAGGATCTACATGATTATTCCTGAGAAGCTGGGTTTGGGAGGGTAAATACATACCAAAGTTGTATAAATAGATGAAAACCTGTCTTATTCCACATACTTGAAACATTTCAATTGTGTTATTCAATATCAGCAGTGTTGAACGCTACCTTCTGCTGTTGAAAGGCAGATCTGTTATTGCTACCCACCTTCCGAGCTGTGTCATGTGCCTGATAGCTAAGGCACTACTGAAATTCTGAACAGGAGAGGGTAGCCACGCTGCTGGTTTCTTCCTAAGACAACACTTAAAACCACTCACCCCTTACCTGGAAAGAAGTGAATTCTTTTTAACATGGAGGGTGAGCTCTTACAGGCACACTCTGACATAGCAGTATAAACCTCCCCCTCAAGTTTCAGTGTTACTTAATCAGTGAACTTCACACTTCTCATAGAAAAACTGTTGCTAAAGTGATGCACGTTCCATCTTTTGACAGCTTTACCCTCCTGACCTTGAAGGGTGTCAGTATTAAGACACAGGCCAGTTGCTTACACTATATTTTTATTTAATGCAGTGACCTTCTGGCAGTGATTAGACAAAGGTCTTCATGAACAAGAAGGCTTACAATTATTATATCTTGTTTATTCGAACACATGGATGTAAGACAGTATTGTATGCAAGTACTATACCTGTATTTATTAAATTACACTTTATATAATGCAAGGTGTCAATTTGTAGCAATTACTTCCCCTTTCCACTCTTATTTGCTGTTGGAGGCATTCACTTAACAGTCCCGAATCCAGCTGCATTCCTGCATCATAGTAACTACAGTAGATGGCACGTTCTGTACTCCAGCCTTGCACATCAACTGTCCCACTACTGTATAAGCCTTCACAAGTGGAGAGCTTTGTCCTTTCAGTTCATACTTACTATCACCTAGGCTATGTGGTCCCAGGTGCAACTTTCCCCTGTGTTTACCTGATTTGACCCAAAAAAAGACTGCTCATTTTTGCTTCTTCTGAGCTGGTTGAAAAATGCTTCCTGTCACTCTCACTTCCCAGCAAATCTGTGGCTATGCAAAACTTTTATGGAAAGCTGCTGCATGTGCTGTATCTACAATATCTTTGATATTCAGCTGCAGGCAGGTTAATACCTGCCTGCCACATGTCTGCAGAAGCTACTCCGGCCACTGTAACAACTTCTGCCAAGGTCACTGGCCTTGACAGTGATTCTCACTCTTATCCTTTCCATTCCCAAGTGCTTGCTACTACACAGAGTATCTTCACAGCACCAATTGAAGTGTGTTCTTGGCATAAGTGACTCACCGAGGCTTAAGGCAGAGAAGGCACTTCCATTTTACACTAGGTGCATTCGAGACCAAGTCCAGCAAATTAACACTAGTAGAGCTGAAGCGCTTTGTCATACACATCTTGGTTACCCCTTCAACTCCCACTGGTGAGACTTAAGGGCAGGAGAGAGAGAAATAAGTTTCTCTACATCTTCAGTGCAACAGCTTCATTAAAAACTAATGCATATGGTGACAATTAGGGGCCACAGAAGTGTTATCACCATTCCAGCTGTTCCTAGTAGTCTGTCAAAGCATCCTCATGGGAGGTTGTCCCTCTGCACTCCCCCTTCTTGCTCTGTGTACTTGGAAACAAAGGTTAAGGGTTTAGCTGTCCGGCAGCTGAACCTCTCACTTCTGCATAATCAAAAGGCAGATTCAAAGTAAAGGCAGGCAGGGTCTTGAACAGTCACATTTGGGGAGGGGAGACATTCAGAATGCCCCATTATTCACATCAGCTGTCAGTCAGTCATTTTCCCAAAGAGCAAACTACTTGAAAAGAAAGGAAAAAGCCTTGAGAATACTCAACATTTATTAAAAGTGCAATAAAAATAAACAGTTTTCTGTCCCTGTGACAAATGACTGGGAATGCCAGCCAGGAAATACAGCCAAGGTACGTAATTGTGTTTTTTGTTCTACCCCTTCTGCTCAGCACTCTGGGAGCTGGCACTCTGGGCACTAACGCCCCTGACCATGCAGAGAGGCAGCAAGTCCATTCACTTCCAGAGACCCAGAATGACTTTAACATGAGCCCCCACATGCTCTGGAGGTACGGACACCAGCACTCAGACCCAAGGCTCCCTGCAGAGAGCGCTTTCAGAAAGCAATGAATCCTGCAGAAAGGGGGTTCTTTGGCAGAGTTATTTGCAGGCCTGAAGGCTGGAAAAGCAGGAAGCACTGGTAGTCAGAAGTCAAGAATTATCAACAGAGCTTGAATAATCCGTTCAGCAACACACTCATCTTCACGGCACTGGTCAAATTGTAAGTGCTCTTACAGCACCCCTACTCACCAGATCCAGTACTTGCCTTGGCATACAGTTGCAGGGGGAAAGGGTCATGCAGCAAGGCAATAATAAAGCTGTATCAAACTCAGAGGGGCCCGGCTCAAAAACTTCAGCTCAGTCTAATATCCTAGGGTATATTACTTGCTGGAGGTGGCTAAGCACAGCACATAGTTGAAGCTGCTTTCCTGCTCTTCAGGCATCTACCAGCTAAGTGGGATTTCAGACCCACCTAAACATTCAGACCCAGGTCTGCTCACCTCTCTCTCCCAATTCTGCTATGAAACCAACGCGCAGAGCGGCTAGCAGTCTCTCAGGCACACGCAGATTCATCTGCTATGCTACAGCAGCAGGGATTGCTTGTGTGCTTTGGAAAAGTTGCATAGAACAGCCAAAAGAAAGGGTGAGGAGGAGAAAAATCAGAGGTGCAAATACCTGGGTCCAGGCAATGCTTTCTATTTCTCACTTTCACCGGCAGCAAAGTTACTCTAGGATTTAGTCTAAAAATACTTCTAGCTTAGAAATGATTGACCTAAAGTGTATTAACACTTTACTAATGCCCTAAGCGGGCAACCCTGGGAACACTCCTAAGCAAATAGTCATTTCCACTCCTTTTAACAATTTGTGTGTAAAAAATAAGAATCTTAAATTAAAAAAAATTAAAATTGAGTCTTGATGCCCTATGAACGTCCAGAGGCACTTCCACATAAATATCAACCTACTAATACAGGGGAGAACAGGATAAGTTCCTTCTCATGAATAAGTTGGAGCGAGGCGTGTTCTTAAGGCGTAGGTTCTGCTTCGTTCAGAGGCGGTCAGCTTCTTACTTCCTCGCTGAATCCAAGGTGCTTGGAGAAGGCAAGATGGGGCAAGAAAAAAAAAAAATTGTCCACAGTGGCAGAACTTGGAAAGGGTGGACGTAAACACTGTAAATCCTGCGTTCCAAGACAAGAAGAAAGAGGGAGAGCATGGTTTATAACTGGGAGAAGTGCACAGACACGGCTCAGAGCTGAGACGCTCCCAGCGTGTGGAGCCTCTCCTCCTTGTTTGTATACGTAGTACATGTCTCATTCTCAGAGTCTGACAGCTTGCTGGCATAGTGCTCCAAAAAGCAGATCTCTCCCCGAGAACTAGGAGCATTTTAAAAATGAATATTTTCCTAATGAGACCTCATTAGGCCATTTCCCACTTTTCTCCCATCAGCAGCTGACCACAGCCATGCCTTTGGGCTCTGCCAAATTTCAAAGCATAAGCTCCCTTCCATGACGCAGGCAGAGCCTCCAAGAGCTGCCTGCACTGAGCTGAAGAGGAGCCGGGTAAAATGCAATGTAAACAGACTGCGGTGACACTCTCAGTTAATCAAGGGAAGCATTCCTACCTGTACAGCCTGCACGCGGCTCACCTCCGGCTCCTTTATCGCCCCGTGTTACTCATCCCTGAAACCTTTGGGCTTTTGATGTTCACGTTCTCGTACACGGAAGCTGACTCATCATCAACCCTGTCAAGAAACAAAGCCTTGTTATTAACATCCTCGCTCCTCTGGATCTTTTCCCAGAGGCAGGGCCAGGGTAATGGGCCAGCCATGCTCCCTATCTACAAGGCTGGGGAGGAAAAAAGGAAGACACAGAATTACCCACACTGTTCTGTATTCTTATTTTCTCTCCCTGCACCTGGGCTGCCCCCCCTGGGTTTAAATACAGCTTGGGGATGAAGCCCAGAACCTTCCGCCACATGTCAGCCTGTCAAGGATGCAACGTTTCTGCAGGATCAGTGGATACACTTCATGTATTTCCTGTTCCTATTTCTATTTCTATTTCTCTGCCTGCCCAATTTCCCTGTACTTTCCCAAATCCAATGGAAAGGGAGAGGTTTGCTCTGTTTCAGATAGGCCTTATTTAGAAAGGACAGCTCCAAAGGCCAGATGCAAGCACCCCGAAAAGGATTTGACATCCAACCCTGAGCGGACAGTTTTATGGAGTGGGCAATTTTCAGCCATTCAGGGCTCATCTTGTTTGGCTCAGTCCCACGCAGACCTCCCTGCCCTCGTTTATACAGCGATCCAGTTTCAACCGAAGCTGAGCGATTTAAACAGGACAGAAGAGTTCCTGAAGTCTAAGGGGGGAAGATCCCATCTGGTTAGATCCAGCTGGAGCTGGCGAGTGCACATCGCCAGCGAAGGACCCAGGTTCAGCCTGCGTTGCATAAGAGCAAGGTCTGTGCGGTCCCCGAGACGCTGCGGGAACCGGAGCGGCTCTGCCCGCGTCGCGGGAGCGGAGCGGCACCTTTCCTGTCTCCTGCTGCCCTCTCCCGGCCCCGTGGGCGGCAGCGTCCCGAGCTTCCCGGAGCCGGGCTCCGGCTACAGGCTTCGCCCCCGCTCTTCAGCTACAAATCCCCTGGCGATTATTTCCGGCTGCTGCCTAGGCTAAGGCCGG